TCCTCTCCATCTCCCCTGGGCTTTCAACAATGTGAGATCCCTGGATGTGTAGGCTTGACTACTTCTCTTCTTAATTTTAACCATCTAAAAATGTGTGTGTCTGGTCTAGGCTTGCTGTCCAGGCTCCCTCAATAGCGGGGAAGAAAAGGTACCTCCAGAAGGCACCTCATCCCCAACGCCTTGGCACCCATTACAGACTAGGATGAGTCGTCTTCTGCAGATCTTGCTCCCTCTTTATTGGCTATGAAAAGTGCATAGACTAACTCAGATTAAATGTTTACACTCTAGGTGATTAAAATTAAGTGACGTGAATCCTATCTTTAACGTCCCATTGTAAGCTACAGCTTTTCCTTCAATTATCTACAACAAGAGTACACTGTGTCCCATCACATTTTGAAATACACTGTAATGATATATACGTTTGCTGCTGTTTCTTTTAGCTACTGCTATTCAATTTTTAAAGTTACGCGTTAATGTCAGGGGAGAAATTAATATACTAATGTTTCTGCACAGCATACTAATATTTCCATCTTTTGCATTTTTGAAATATGTAACTTCATACTGCTTTTCTAACCCAGCAAGACCCACAACTTTTTTTTTGACAGTGCGGATAGTTTTACATTATCCACGGATAAGAGACGTTGCACTGAGTTCAGAAGGATCCTGTGGAAGTGTAAAAGTCACAGGATATTGGCCAAGATAAGGATTAGACCCAAATGATGGATGTCTCCTTTGGGACAGGCTGCCCTAGAATACTGCTTTCCTGGAAAACAGTTTTGTTCTGGTTTGACTGGAATTACTTGAATTAAGTTGCTCCCTAAATAAGACCAACTTTTTCACTGTTTCCCTCTGGCTTCAAATACCATCATGCAATAGTCTTCTGGTTATTATGCATTAGATAACACAAAGAAAGAATATATGAATCCATGAGTTTGATTTTTAGTTTCCTTAGATGGAAACTAAAACACTCCCTACTTACTCTGTATGCTTAGAAATATAACTTACAGCTTCCTAATTTATGCCACCAAATGGAAAACAGGATCTCCAGGCTCCTCAAATCTTTCCCTGGATGCTCCACCACACTGGGCACCCCTTGGACCGCTTCTTGCAGGTGCCAGTCCTGGAAACTGCCTCCTCAGTAGCCTGGCTGGGGGACAACTTTTTGATGTGCGGATGCTGCCTGCGCTACAGCTGTGAGGGTGCTCCCCTGCCACTGCCAATGAGCCACCTCTCACAGATGCTCCCAGTGCTCCTCCAGACAAGAAGGCCCCTCAGAGCATGGCCAGCTCTATACAATGTTAACACCTTATACCTGAGCTGCCAAACGGAGCTGTAGTCTCAGAGAAGCCTTGGGCAGGAGCTGCTTCACCCCAAGAGCAAGCAGTGCAGATGAGGGGATGCCAGAGGCAGAGACAGCCTCTCCGTGTTCTGGGTGAACTGCCAGTTCTTACTCTGTGGTTTCTCTTCCAAAACTAAGTCAGGAGTTGTATTGCCATTTCCCTCGTGAGTACCTGACAAGGTGTTCTTCCTTGCAGCAGTTGCTAGAGGCGGTGGGAAATTAGGAAAGCTGATGTGAACTACATAACCACAGTCTTGCTGGTTTGGAGAACAGCAGAGATGAAGAAATCTCTATGTCTTTCCAATTACGTCCAGTTTTCTTTTTTCATTCTCCGAACTGCGGATTGAGTCTGTGTAGCCTCCAATTAAATATCGAGTCCCTGTAAAAGCTGCAAATCTCTTCAGCTATATTTACACTATAAAACAAGAAGGCCAAGGACTGTTTTGTAACCTGAACCCAACTAGTTCTCTGCAGCAGAACTTTTCCCCTCTGTACACCCCTTTTCTCCTCAGAGTACAATGACTCTGTCCTTTTTGCCTGCTAGGGGTGATCTCTGCTCTGTGCTATTCCCAGCTACTGTTGGATGCTGTCCAAGAGACTGACAGTTGGCCAGGTCAAAATCACAACAAGGAATGGGTTAAAATTCAATAGGACTTGCCTTATAGACAAATGGATCAATGAAAATATTCTGAGAAGGCCACTCTCCCTTTTAATCACTTTCTTCACACTGAAAAAGGGATGTGATCAGCTGAACACTCACAGCAGCCTAAAGCTGATGCACCAGGACACAGTAGGAGGCTTTCACCTTAGATTTTTCATTGTTTAAAACGATAGACTAAAATAGGTTTTTACAACCGGCATCCATCACTTTTACCCCTCTGAATCAAGGTCTCTTGCGTCACACGCAGTCCAGAACAGCTGCCCTGGAGGACATCACCTGCTCCTGCACCAGCACAGATGAAAGAACCACTGACGATGCACCGGTGAATACACTGGATTGAATTAAGTCCTAAACAAGTGCATCTCAGTGAAATTATACCCGGGCCAAGACTGACCTAAGCAGTTACAATGTACTTCACCACCACTGGTGAAACAGAAATAAACAGAAGCAGGTTGAGAGATAAGTCACGGTCCTACTGAACAGCTCAAGGAAACTCTGCTTACTGGGAACATGCACAGTTGGAATAGTTGCATAACCTATTTTAGGCACCTAATGTAGGTTGCATATGTCAGGAGGCTGATCTCTGTGTATGGTCAATGCACAGAAGTAGGTGAACCCCTCCCGAAGGTGATTTAGAACATCTAAATTAAGGAATATTTAGGTTCCTAATTTGAATGCTCCAAGTTTCCCTCCAGAGGTGCCTCTCTTCATTGTGCAGAGAGTGAGGCTCCTAATTTAGGAACACGATGCACTTCTAAATTAGAAAGGGAATTACGTAGGACAGTGAATCACTCCTCCCTTCCCTTCTCCCCCACTGGCAGTTGGGAGAGTGGCACCTCTCATGGCCACCTATCATGGCACCAGACTGAGTCATGATTCTGATTACAGTGATACTGGTGGCAACTGTGGAGTAACTTCATTCATTTATAGTAATGGAACCTCTAGATTGGTAGAAATTAAAATAGAGTCTAGTTTGTGATGCTGGAATAATTCTGTGAGAATTGCTGATATTGGAATCTTTGCTTCTGACTGAAAATTCCAAGATGAAAATCTCCAAGTTTTTAAACACATACAACAACACATACAGTTGTATGGACTTTAAGCTCCATTTACTATCATGCCACACATGCAGAGTACGGGTAAATGATAGTATCTTATTAATAGACTGTTTGTTTCACAGCCATCATCTTACAAGAATGTCCAACTGTGGCAGGAAGAAACTAGACTCAGACTGGGGAGACTAAAAGTAAGTAGAAAATCAGCATGACGAGCTAAACGAGACAAATGACATTCTAGTATCTTAGAGTCTAGTCAGGTTCTGTATAACATTTCCTATCTAAAAAGGGATTGTACTTCTAGGTCTCTGCAATTCCTGTAACAGCCTCTGCTATTTTGAGGGTTAAACCCTGATCTCATCCTTTGGGCAATGAAGGGTTAAAGGGTCCTGTCTTCACATAGCATGGTTTCTTAACTTCCCTAGAAGATGTGCCGTTACATACTTTATAAAAAATTTGATTGAGGAAGAGACAAAATAGCAATTTCAAGATATTTTTAAAATGTAAAGTATTTCAGATGCTGTTCTATGGATTCACTAGTAATATTTGATTTTGAAATGTTTAATTTGCTAAAGGAACTGCTTCTTTCCTGGCAGGAAAACACAATTATTAAAGCTCATTTCATTATTTTGAGACTGATAGCACAATTTGATTCATTGTTTAACATTCCATCACTATGAATACAATGAAATTCTCTAATGATTAATAGGATTTGTTATTTTAAATAATCATGCTCAACCTTATTTGCAAGACTTATTAGGTCTGCAACTTCCATTTGAATAATGCATTTCTAGCTATACAGCCAACTTTGGAGAGTTGCTACTTATCTGCAGAACATCCTTCTCTCTGACTGCTTTAGGGACAACTATTTTGCAACACAGAGCCTGCAGCTGTGTATCGCATCTCATCCTATTGCCATGAAAGGCAACCTCACAGGGATTTCCTCCCAGACATTTCTGATCAGTTTTAGCACGCTTTGCTCTTCACACTTGCACAGGATGGAAACATGTTCTCTGATAAGTCAAAAAAGGGTAGTCAGGAGGATGGATCTTGCTGAGCCCCAGCCATGAAAGAGTCATTTCTGACCAAGCCCACACAACTGGAGGGAAACTTAGAAGGGGACCACGAAGCCCAAAGAAAGCTCACAGCCCCTCCTGGGTATAACCCTTCCTTTTCCCCTTCCTCCCACACACATATTCTCCACTATAAGCTGCAAAGAGGTTTAATTGGCCGTAAACCCCAAAAGACTCCCACAATACAGACAGAAACATCACTTCTGTATGGTTGTTCAAAGAGTAAAACACTGTGTTTTTCCCACAAGGATTCCTCTGATTTCTCCTGTGCCCACCTCCCCTCGCCTCTTGCACGGCCAGATCCCGTTCGTGCCGGTGCCAAACCCCAGTGAGCTCAGGCCTTGGCTCACAGACAGAAACCCAGAGCAAAGCCCAGCTCCCCACCATACAGCTGCTCTGCTGTACGCACACACAGCATTTCCGTACTACTGTCTTCACGTATGTTATCACCCTCTCATTAAGTAACAGCAGGAGTGGATTCAGCCAGAAATATTTTGATTCACAGTGATTTTCTGCACCCCCAGAGTGAGCAAAAGACACTCCTTGCAGAAAGTGCAGAGGTTGATGCTAAACTCCCACTGTTTGATGTGGTCCTTAACATTCACATCAACATTTATACAGACCCAAGTGAGAGTAAAAAAACAGCAGTGCTTTGTATATTCTGCTCTGCCTGGGTTTCAGCCGCAGAAAAAACTGGTTTTCAGCACAGCTCATCCCTGTATGTACCAAAAAGCCAAGCCCTTCCCATCTTTTTATTCCCAGTGAAGGAATAACAGAAATGAAGACAGTTGGCTACAAATTCCCCTTCACTTTTCTTCATCATACAATCATACAAGCAAAAGTAACAAACAGGAAAAAACGGAAACACATACATGTTCTGATGTGAAGGCAACCAGTCTGGGAATAGCTGCCATTCCTTTTTCTTTAACTTCTGGGAACATCTTGAAACGTGCAATCAACATAGCATACATGTTAGATATGGCACCACCTGGAGTCCACAGTAATATACTGTTACTTTTTCTATGCATTGCAATATTATTGCAGAACAAACTACAAGTCTTGCTACAGTTTTTCTAACTCTCATGTTAATGTTTCTGCCCAATGGCAGATTCTCCTTCCTGATGCTCCTCACAGATGAGATGTGTAATAACAGGATCTACTACACTCAAATAACAATTTATGCAAAAAGTACTGCTGCAAAAAAATAACCGGGGCTTCCTTTCATCCTCATTTTTGTTACCATTTCTCCTTAAGTCCCTAACCCTATCTTTCCATATGCCATCAACATGTAATTCCCACTCTGTTCCACCTCCCAAGCGGATGCCACCACAAGGTAACCTCCTAAGTGGCTTCCGAGTGTAACCTAAACTGTGCTCTCCCCTCCCAAATTAGAGTGGTGTTTCATGCTCCAGCTCTGAGGAAATCCACATAGTGCGTCCCAACAGGCACTATCTTCTGGATAATCGGAGTGGGAGGAGGGAAGAGAAAGGAAAAAGGGTCATTCTAACAAGTATTTTTCTTTTTATTTGTCCTCTGATGGGAACAAGGGGAAAAGGTTAGATGTCTCTAACACCAGCCTTAAAATCTGGCATTCATTGACTTAAAATACCCACTTCAAGATGGGTACCAGATGACAGCTCTACAGTATTCTGTTCCCATATTTCATTTATCAATGCATAAATTAAAAACGAGCGCTTCATTTTTCCGTTTTGAGATTTTTAGAAACTGAGCCTGTGTGTCCACAGTCGAACAATGTTTGGTTATACATTAATGCTGCATGAGCACTATGGGAATATAATGCAGAACCTGAGGCAGAGTCTGAGCACTTTTACGAACACACTCAAACACACACAGATGTATAGATAAAATCCATCTGCTTTATCCTGTATATATACTATATATATATATACACAGACTGACTATATATTGATGTTTATGCACATATATTTATATAAAGCAAAGGTGTATATTGATCATGGGTTTAGGCTTTTAAATGAACAGGTCAGAGTACTGCTGGGGTAGAGTTCAGCTAACTCAACTTTCATCCATCTAAAAATGGAGTGAAGAGCACATGGCAGGCACTCCCAGAAGACGGTTTGGCTCACCCTAAGGCAGCTACTTGTCGTAGGTGGGATGACTTGCCCTGCAAACGCATCCAACTCTTGAATATATGGGGGCTGCTGCAAATAGCCCGGGGTAGACACCCAATGCCTGGACAGCCAAACTGAGACAAGATAAAACCCTCCCTTTAAGCAGATCAAGGTAGCTCTGCTGAAAGCAGCAACATTACACCAGGTTACACTAGCCAGGTATATGTGCTGGCAAATTTAACATTGTTTTGACTTTTGTAAGATTTATATTTATCCCGCTGGAGATATATATACTGTTCCACAGCCCGCAGAAACTGTGCCCTTCATTTCTAATCAGTGTCTCAGCTCTGCTCGTGCAGCGAGGCTGCCCCTGCCCTGGGCCTTCCCTGACCTCACTGGCCCTTCTGTGAATCCAAGGGAAAATGCCACAGAGGAATGGCATCGCTGGCACGGAGGTCAGCACAGCTTTTTCTTCCCACTTCCAATATCTTTAGAAGTATGAACATATTTCTACACCTCTTTTCACAAACAACAGAACAAGAAATGAAGAGATTAAGAGGAAATGTTTGGGTACTTGTCCCTAAAAAAAAACAGATGTCATGTAACGGCTGCTGTTGACAATTTAGGTGACTGAACTAAGGTGTTCAGGTTGAAGATATTTGGCCTATATCTTGTCCAAAGTCACTGGCTCAATGTCAAAAGAATCAAGACTGAAACATTAAGTTTCTTCAATACCAGGCTTTCCTATTAGTATTTATTACTTATCCATTTAACCTGAAGCTTATTAATAAGCCTGAATTCTACCTTTAATTTTGCAGCTGTGTTTACACCCACAGTTAATTGCAGGCAATAAAACACACCTACAGAATTTGGAGAATCTGATTGGGCCTTTATGTTTCTCATGTATTGATACTGCGTATGTCATTCCAGAGAATGCAGAAGGTGACGACCTTTTCTTTGCAACAGTAGTCTTCAGCTGAAGCCCTGATGGCTTGAAAGGAGAAGACAGTATAGAGATTATTTTGATTATTGCCTAAAAAAGCAGAACCCGCACACTGGGTATCACTGCCATAAGAGAGTGAACGAGAAAGATGCACTTTGTGCAAACCAGCCATTGGAGAGAAAGAACAGATGGGAGGGGGCCAGCACAGGAACGTGCCTGCCAGAGAGCCCATCCCTATGCACGTTTCAGCTGGATGAAGTGAGCTCCAGCATCTGATACATCAGCCGAGACCCTGGCCCCCCAGGTCAGGCAGGGACCTCTCATGGACCTGGGAGGGACCTCTCACAGACCTGGGAGGGACGGCTGCTCCTCTCAAGACGTTCCATCGCTCCTGACTCACACTATCTCAAACACACTTTGTGAGACTTGGGCCAATTTGGCACTTGCACTTGAGCCTTTCACTCCACCTGCCGCCCGTGCCCAGCCTCTGCCCTTCAGCTCTGGCCAAGCAACGTTGCTGCTGCTCTTCTCTCCCCTCTCAGGTCCCTGACCAGCCCAGCGGGGTGACTTTGGCTCAAGCCTGCAAGGTGAGGAACTGAAAACCAGCTGTACTGAGTCAGGCCAGGGACTGGACAGTAACCAAGCACTGACCAGTTTCCAAAAATTTTGGCCTAGGTCCTGGGCTCGTGATAACACATTTAGATGCTGCCCCGTGTGATGGAGGCCATGGTTTTGGTCAGGACCTCTCAGCACTACAGCAAAAGTCATCAGAGCTTTTGCTCTCCGTGCTTTTTAAAAAAGGACTCAACAAGAAGCGATGTAAATTCTTCTCATCTTTTGCTCCACTTCTGTGGAAAGGCTCAGGACAAAACTCCTGCACCACTTCCGATATGTGCATTCAGATGTGAGAAGCTGAAGATGAGCCCTGCCTGATCTTCTGCACAGCATGAACTTCACCCTTCATGCCCTCGGAGAGCCGAACATCCTAGGCTGTCATCAGCGAGGCTTTTCCTTTGCTGGATAGTCCAAACACTCCCTCCCTCTCCCTCAGGTCAATGAACTTTCTTTCCAGCAGGGCTCCTTCCCCACCAGCTATCAGACCGTTCTCTTTTGACAAGCCAAGACATTATGCCCAATGTCAATTCTTTATTTTTTTTTGCTAGCTGGTGAGATAGATAGGGCAAAATTTTTAGCAATGAAATTCCAGAATAAGATAGGAGGTGACAAAGAATATAAACCAAAAGACTAAGCAGAATGATTAATAAAAAAAGTCTTGGCAATGTAGTGTTTGTTAGAGTCAATGATTTCTCCACAGTTAACCGCACTAATTCTTTGCCATACTGATTGGCCCTGAAGGAACGAGGTTTCTGAGCCTTTAAGCACTCCAATTAACCAGGCACCCAAGTACCCCCACTGAGCCCAACAGGCCAGCTCACACACGGAAAGCTCACTGCATACTGTAATGTTGGCAGGATCTTACCGACTCCACTAAAATTACTTAAAGGGATGCTACGTCTTTCCCTCTTTGCTCCAATTTCCCCTGCAGTGACAGAGAGCACTGTTGTGTTTCTTCCCTCCGTTATTAATACAATAGTCTATTTCCTGTAATCCATAGAAAGTGGGGGCAAAGAGGAACCGCAAGGCAAATGTCTCTTCTGATTATGTTTCCCATGTGCCATTACAGCTGCTCATAATGAAGTGCAATTTGCTCAAACAGATCCTCATAATCACATCCCTGAAATTCATACACATGCAATATTTTATCTCAAAGAGGCCACCAGTGGTTATTAGCAAGTGTCCTCTCAAACATGCATATTTAATTATGTTTAGTCTTTAACTACAGGGGATGTCATACAGTATAATCTGAAAAATAATGAAAGCTTGAAATATCATGTACCAGGTGAAAATATCCCATCGCCACAGCCCCCTGGCCAGCCAACCATCTCTCTCATTTTCCTTAGCGTGACATATTCCAAAAGTACAAACACTGGAGCAATTTCATAGGTGAACCTGAAATGTAGTAATGTCCATATTTAATGCTTTCATCTACAACACTAACACATCTTTTTCCAATATCACGTTTCATTATAGCCACAATATACTCTATCTTGCACTGGGTAGAGCTCTGTTCTACAACACTCTTGAAAATCTTCCTTCCGATTTGACATCAAATGTCTAGAAGGACAAATTCTGAGAGTGCTTGAGACTCCATTTCCACCCAGTTCAGTTAAACAAATCCTGCCCACCCCTTCCAGGTGCAAGGCTTTGCCCTGTATTCAAGAGCTATTGGGCAGAGGCAGACCTTCGCCTTGCAAAAGCCTGTGTGCGTGTCTAGAAGCACACACGTCAGCAGTCCTATTCACGATGACAAGGCAGTGCATGAACCTAAGCAAGTGCACAAAAATGCCTCCTAGTCCCAAAGCGAAAAAACCCCACATTTTAAATTCTGCACCTCTTTCTTACAGAAAGCAATGGCTGTAACTGCTCTGAGTATGAATTGTGTGTAATCTCTCTAAATTAATACAACTGTTCACTTAACATACCTTTCATTTTACATATTTATGCATGCAAAATGCTGAAATATGTTTTTCTGTATATTTTTGGGGGGAGTAGCAAACTGACATCATGATGAAATTTTATAGAAGACAGCCTACAGGACAATATTGAGAGTCTTCATGTAAATAGCTATAACAACCATTTAAAAAGCAGACAATTGTTTTTTCCAGCAACCTTAACATAAAAGTATTCTTTTTTGCATTCAGCTACAGCAGCTAATATTTTAGAGTATAACTGTAAAATTATATTAAATATTATTACAGAAAAAAATCTGCTACTTACATATTAGTATTTGCTGCTGATGTCAGCCAGTCTGCTGCCAATCCAACCATGTCCAATCCAGTTGAAAGTTGATTAAAATATCTAGGGTGCCCTGCATAAGATGGTAAACGTTATCAAAAGGCTGATGACTGTGAATGAAACTATTCAGTGTATTTACCTCCAGATTTCTATAGAGAAGGAAGTGCTTTCAAGGTACGAAACAAAGCAAACAGCAATAAATAAATTTCCTGGAAAAGGCAGGATTTCTCTTCTTTCTCCTTCCAAACTGAGTAAAATCAGAGTAATTACACTGAACGTAGAATAATGAATTCCAATATTCTCTATTATCCTCTCAATATGCCTTGAAAATTAGCACATCGCTGCCTCACAAAAATAGCTGTTTGCTCCCGTTAGTGTGTCACATGTTGTCACTAGATGTGTTTTTGCCTGGCTAGGTTTGAAAGGCACGCACGAGACACCATCTGAAGAGCTTGCCAGGACATATAACATCAGTGATGAATGGCTAATGATTATAATAGACAGGGTGAAATGAGAAAATGGAACATTTTGGTGACTGCTTTGCACATGACTCAAAGGCTGATAATTGTACGAAGATGGCAGGGAAGGTGGCGGTCCTCGTCATTTCTTCTCCGTCAGAGTGCCATTACAAATAACCCGGCTGATCGCAACTGTGATTTTAAACAAACCCCACGAAAACCAGCACTGCTGCCCCTGCAGAATGATGCACAAGAATATGCTCACTGAGCTGATAGTCCATTTACCTGCTTAATCTAGCTGGCTCCTGATTTTTTTCTAAAATCCTGTTAGAGATTTTTCTTAAAAACGTGCCTAGAGTCATTAAACCCAGGAACCATTAAAACTCAGTTTTTACTAGTTGCTCCCCGCAAGCCCCTGTTAAGAGGCATAATTACTGCTACAAATTACAGACAGTTCACAATTACTTAAATGCTGTCTGACTCAAAGGAAGACAGCCTCTGCTTGGAAAACACCTGTCCTGACCCACAGATGACGTCCTATTATTGCCGTCACGGAAAACAAAAGATAGAGCAAGATGACTGAGGAAATGCAGACCCAGCACCAAGAGAAAAAACTTATCTATGGTCTCCAGTGGCGTCTTATCAGGCGCGGACACATGGCTGGCAGAACAGCACAGGGAATTGCTCCCCAGCTCCCACCTTGCAGCACACAAAGGCAGAGTAATTGGGCTGTGTAGGCAGACCAGCTCAGGGGATAAGGGGGGTACGCACGCAAAATCCAGCTCCCTGTGTGCTTAATCTCAGCCAAGCCCCATGCCGCTGCCATCCAGCCTGACTGTGTTTTGCCACGAGCCCTCTGCTGAGACCCAGCGGGACAAACAGGATCCAGACCCCCCCTGCCAGCTCTCGAATGGGGTAGGTGGGCCTGGGCACATGTGCACCCCACCACAGCGACCGCAGGCCTGGGGCTCTGCCTGCAGAGGACTGCGTGTCCCCTGGTGATGGAATTTTATTCTTGAGAGAGATTTTGGTATTTATACCTTGGATTCAATCTCACAGTCAGGCTCTGAGCAGGTGCCCAAATTCCATCAGAAGGCAACAGAAAATTAGGAGCTGAAAGCCTTTGGTGAATCTGGGCCACAGAAAGGCAAAAAGAGGCCAGAAAAAAGTCCTGCTTTGCAAATAAATCCACACCGAAAAGCTGGGGAATAGCAGAACACGTTATGTGCAGCTGCATTGTCTCGGTAGCTCCGTCAGCCCTGTACCCAGCCCCAGGCAACAGCCATTGTCACTGCTCGTTTCCTCAAGGAAACCCCACAGCACACCTCCTGCTTTGGGAACCACCGCAGGAACGAGGCCAGCTGTACACCGGGGTAGGGGCAGCCATACCCCAGAGCGAGCAAGGTGGAGGAAGCAGTGCTGTGCCCCTACCGAGACGTGACTACAGGGATAGCAGGAGCTTCTGCTGCGGGTGCGGCTGCTGTCAGACCCCCCAGCCCCTCCACTGGTGACACGGCCCCCTCTGCTCAGCGCCCTTCCCTTCTGCAACACGGCTTTAACACGCGATGGCAGAAAATGTCATCCCCTGCTCTGACCCCGAGCTCAGCTGCAAGGGTTTGTCCGTTCCTGTGACACCTGAGCTCTCTTCCCTCAGTAGATGGCCATGGAAAAGTGTGGCTTTGCTTAAAAGACAGGCTCCACTGGCCAGGGAAGAAGAGTTTGGGAAGAGATGCTCGAAAATCACTACCCGGGTGCCGCCTGCCTGAAACACATGTCCTTTGTCGTGGTTGTCACTGAACAAAGGGGTGGCTGGAAAACAGACTGAGAGGGTGCGGAGAGAGGGGGGCAGATGTGAAAATAGGAGATTACTGCTTACTGGTTGGTTTAGCAACATACAACATATTTATACATATCCCAGAGTAAATCGGGAGATGATGGGCAAGAGCTGGGGCTGAGGCACCGGGATGGACAGAGACGGGCTTTCCCTGCCAAGGACATGCCTCTGCCCCACACACCCTCCTCTCAAACATGCTCCCATATGCACTTGGATTTAGATGTGGACATCCCTGGCATTAGCATTCAGCCTCTGCAGCCTCGACAGGGAAGCAAAGACAAGGGTGGGCAAAGCCAGACAGCGTGAATAAAGGGACGGCCGGCAGCACTGGCCTTGGCCCTGCTCACAGCCCCTCCGCACGCACAGCTGGCTACCAGCATCAGGGCCTGCCGGGGAGCAAGGCTGCACCAGTGCCAGCTCCTCGCACCCTTCCTGGCATTTCCAAGCCGGTTTTAAACGCTCGCATTTCAATTCCCCTGGTGAGCATTGCACAGGAAACCAATTTGGCATCCATCTTTCCCCACATTTGCAAAAGCTGCCTTTCATATTCTCTCAGACAAAATTCTTGCCAGAGGTGGATGCTGGTAGCCGGTAAGGGAGCAGAAAGCTGCGTGTGGCTCCCACAGGCACCCCAGTGAGCCACGGCGTGCAGGCAACACCTGGGAGCATCCCACAGCTGCCCCTCGGCTTAAAAATCAGCCATCCAGCTTCTTGAATCCCAGCCAAGGGTCAGTGCTGGGACTCGGGAATGTGAGGCTAATCTCAGCAATACAATTTATTTTCCAATCAACCTCCCGGGCCGCTGCAGCCAAACGCAGCCCAAGCTCCCCCAGACTAGGAGAGGCCATGTCTGAAGGGCTCCTGCAGCGGGAGCAGAGGCAGTCCCCTGCCGCCAGAAACCTCACCACATTGTCCATCTGAGCGTAATTCAAGCACTTTACTCTGAAGCACATGCCAAAGGGCTCTGGGAGTAAATCCTGTGGGCCCGCCCCCCCCCCCGTGGCTGGGCCGCCCGCCCCAGGAAGCGTCAGCCAAGCGAGGCGGCCCTGCATCCCCCGCCGAACCTCGCCGCGCCGCCGCATCTCACACAACGCCCCCAGCACTGGTCCTCGGACCTCGAAAACATTATTTTAATTAAAACGAATAAAAAAATGCCAAGAAGGGAAAGCCTCATATATTCATGGGGAGTGAGAGAAATGGTAACGTTGTTTTAGAGGGTCTTTTTTAGATGCACAAAATGAAATAGGTCCATTATGTGAAACAGGCTATGACAAAACAAGATTAACGAAAATTGCTTAATAAATCCTATTCTTTGATTTCCCATATTCACAGATTCTGTGTTTCACAGCATGCTGTGAAAATACGTTTCCTACGCCCTACCCAGACACATCACATGGATCACTGGACCGAGCGACTTTGTTCCTGTGGACATCATTTATCTAACTATTTATTCTAATATTTTACAGACGTTTTGACAGCACCCAACCCATGCATCAAAAACATTCAGCTGGACATTTCCACGGCTAAACGAGGAGGATTATACAGATCCCCTGCAATCTTTACTGGGATCAGTCTGTTCTGTTCCCAAAAGGTGACAAAACCTGTTTTTTGTTTTCCCCTCATCCTCTATTCACAAATCAGCCTTTTGTCTCTTTCAGTAATTGCTACATATTTATTTTTAAGCAATTTCTCTGTAATTCAAATTCCCACTAAGAGCTCTCTGCACTCCACATGATTTCTCAATCACAGCCGTAATTGTAGTTGCGCTTTTTGTCTCCTCCGAGGCAGTTTATTTAAGGTGGCCCCGGGTGCGAAACCGGGGGCTTCCCCACGCGTGGGTGAGCCCCGCGCTGCCTCCCTGCCACGTAGCCCACATGGGGCACGACTACCGGGGTTCCAGACAGGCAGGAGTCAACTCGTCCCTGCCCTCGCCAGTGAAAAACAACCACCAAAAAGGCTATTAAAACATTTCGGGCTTTGTTTTTATTGCTTGAGCCTACAGTTGGGAAAAAAAAAATCCACCCCAATACTCCTGTGGGCAGTTCTGCCAAATGTTCCTATTTTTATGTCCTGCAGGTACAGGGAGAGACACGGCAAACCGCCGCTCATTACAGGATGTTTATTGCGATTTTGGCTGTTAAATA